AGAGACCCCCGAGAGCTGGAACTGCAGCTCACACCCCCCGGGGACAAAGGGGAGCCCGGGGGGGACCCCTGAGCGACCCGGGGAGGGGAGGGCACGGACCTGGGAGAGACCCCAAATCAGGGAGAGACCCCAAAAATAACGGGGAGAGACCCCCGAGAGCTGGAACTGCAGCTCACACCCCCCAGGGACAAAGGGGAGCCCGGGGGGGACCCCTGAGCGACCCGGGGAGGGGAGGGCACGGACCTGGGAGAGACCCCAAATTAGAGAGGGACCCCAAATCAGGGAGAGACCCCCAAAAACAACAGGGAGAGACCCCAAAATCAAGGAGAGACCCCAAAGTCAGGGAGGGACCCCAAAGTCAGGGAGGGACCCCCCAGAGTCAGGGAGGGACCCCAAATCAGGGAGAGACCCCCAAAAACAACAGGGAGAGAGGAATGACTGGGAAAAATCACACAGGTGTGGGGAAATACCCAGAATTCCCTGTTTCCCCCTCTGGAATTACCCAGAATTCCCTGTTTCCCCCTCCAACTCCCTCGAAGTATGTGGTATTCCCTGTTTCCCCCTCTGGAATTCCATGTTTCCTCCTCTGGAATTACCTGGAATTCCCCGTTTTTCCCTCTGGAATTCCATGTTTCCTCCTCTGGAATTCCCTGGAATTCCCTGTTTTTCTCTCTGGAAGTGCCTGGAATTCCCTGTTTCCCCCTCCATTCCCCCTCTGCAAATACTTGGAATTCCCTGTTTCTTCCTCCATCCCTTGTGGAAGTACCTGGAATTCCCAGTTTCCACTCTGGAATTACCCAGAATTCCCTGTTCCCCCCTCTGGAATTCCCTGTTTTCCTTCTGGAATTACCCAGAATTCCCTGTTTCCCCTCTGGAATTACCCAGAATTCCCTGTTTCCCCTCTGGAATTCCCTGTTTTCCTTCTGGAATTACCCAGAATTCCCTGTTTCCCCCTTTGGAATTCCCTGTTTCCCCCTGTGGAATTACCCAGAATTCCCTGTTTCCCCCTCTGGAATTCCCTGTTTCCCCTATGGAATTCCCTGTTCCTACTCTGGAATCACCTGGAATTCTCTGTTTCCCCCTGTGGAATTCCCTGTTCTCCCACCCGGAGTTACCCAGAATTCCCTGTTTCCCCTCTGGAATTCCCTGTTTCCCCTCTGGAATTCCCTGTTTCCCACCGTGGGCATTCCCAGCCCCTGTGGAATACCTGGAATTCCCTGTTCCCCCTGTGGAATTCCCTGTTCCCCCTGTGGAATTCCCTGTTTCCCCTATGGAATTCCCATCCCCTATGGAATACCTGGAATTCCCTGTTCCCCTCTGGAAGCATTCCCAGCCCCTGGAATACCTGGAATTCCCTGTTCCCCTCTGGAAGCATTCCCAGCCCCTGGAATACCTGGAATTCCCTGTTCCCCTCTGGAAGCATTCCCAGCCCCTGGAATACCTGGAATTCCCTGTTCCCCTCTGGAAGCATTCCCAGCCCCTGGAATACCTGGAATTCCCTGTTCCCCTCTGGAAGCATTCCCAGCCCCTGGAATACCTGGAATTCCCTGTTCCCCCTCTGGAATTCCCTGTTTCCCCTGGAATACCTGGAATTCCCTGTTTCCCCTCTGGCATTCCCAGCCCCTGGAATACCTGGAATTCCCTGTTCCCCTCTGGAAGCATTCCCATCCCCTGTGGAATACCTGGAATTCCCTGTTCCCCCTGTGGAATTCCCATCCCCTGGAATACCTGGAATTCCCTGTTCCCCCTGTGGAATTCCCTGTTTCCCCTGGAATACCTGGAATTCCCTGTTCCCCTCTGGCATTCCCAGCCCCTGGAATACCTGGCATTCCCTGTTTCCCCTGGAATACCTGGAATTCCCTGTTCCCCCTGTGGAATTCCCTGTTCCCCTGTGGAATTCCCTGTTTCCCCTGGAATACCTGGAATTCCCTGTTCCCCCCCATAGAAGCATTCCCAGCCCCTGGAATACCTGGAATTCCCTGTTTCCCCTCTGGAATTCCCTGTTCCCCCTCTGGAAGCATTCCCATCCCCTGGAATACCTGGCATTCCCTGTTCCCCTGTGGCATTCCCTGTTTCCCCTGGAATACCTGGAATTCCCTGTTCCCCCCATGGAAGCATTCCCATCCCCCGGAATACCTGGAATTCCAGGCTGCCGTTGGCGAAGGCCGGGCCGGGGTCGGCTGCCGGGCTCCCGCGGAGCCGGAACGTCCGCGCCGACGGATCCAGGCTCCCGTTGGAGCTCTCCCAGGAAAACTCGGCCAGGTCGTAGGGAGGGAAAAACCCCTCCCCTGGAGCCTTTTCCTCCAAAAGCTGCGGAAAAACAGGGCCTGAAAACCCACCTTTGTCCCTAAAATAATTCCTGATTTTGTTAAAAAATGGAGACACGGGGAACAGTTAAAGAAATTAATTGGGAATAAAGAATCAGGGATAAAGAATCGAGGATTGGGAGCTGAGAAATTAAGGAATCGGGAATAAAGGACCGAGGAATGAAGAATAAAGGATTAAAGAAATTAACTAAGAATAATTAGGAATAAAGAATTAAGGATTAAATACTGAGAAATTAAGGAATCGGGAATAAAGGATCAAGAAATGAAGGATAAAGGATTAATTAAGAATAATTAGGAATAAAGAGTTAAGGATTAAATACCGAGAAATTAAGGAATTGGGAATAAAGGATCGAGGAATGAAGGATAAAGGATTAAAGAAATTAACTAAGAATAAAGAATTAGGAATAAAGAATTAAGGATTAAATACTGAGAAATTTAGGAACTGGGAATAAAGGATCGAGGAATGAAAGATAAAGGATTAAAGAAATTAATTAAGAATAATTAGGGATAAAGAATTAAGGATTAAATGCTGAGAAATTAAGGAATAGGGAATAAAAGATTGAAGAATTAAAAATAAAGAATTAAGGAATGAAGAATAAAGGATCAAGAAATTAAAAATAAAGAATTTAGGGAATCAAGAATAGAGAATTAAGAAATGAAGGACAAAGAATTAAGAAATTGGGAAATGAGAGAATAAAGAATTAAGGGTTAAGAAACCGACAATGAAGAATTTGGGGCGTTTTGGGGCAGGTTTGGGGCAAGTTTGGGACATTTGAGTAAAGTCCAGCATGAGTGGAATATTTTGGGGCAGGTTTAGGGCTATTTAGGGCAAGTTTGAGGCAGTTTAGGGCAAGTTTGGGGCAATTTGGGGCAGGTTTGGAGCATTTGGGGGCAATTTATGGCAAGTTTTGGGGCATTTAGGGCAAGTGTGGGATATTTGAGTAGAGCCCAGCGCGACTGGAATATTTTGGGGCAGGTTTGGGGCAATTTAGGGCAAGTTTAGGGGAGTTTAGGGCAAATTTGGGACATTTGAGTAAAGTCCAGTGCAAATGGAATATTTTGGGGCAGGTTTGGGGTGATTTAGGGCACGTTTGGGGCAGTTTAGGGCAAGTTTTGGGGAGGTTTAGTGCAGATTTGGGACATCTGAGTAAAGCCCAGTGTGACTGAAATATTTTGAGGCACTTTTGAGGCAACTTTGGTCAGGTTTGGAGCAGTTCAGGCCAAGTTTTGGGACATTTGAGTAAAGCCCAGAGTGACTGGAACATTTTGGGGCAGGTTTGGGGTGAATTAGGGCAGATCTGGAGCATTTTGGGGCAGGTTTGGGGCAATTTAGGGAAGGTCTGGGGCATTTGGGGGCAGGTTTGGGGCATTTGGGGGCAAATTTGGGGCAAGTTTGGGATATTTGAGTAGAGCCCAGCGTGACTGGAATATTTTGGGGCAGTTTGGTGCGATTTAGAGCAAATTTGGGGCAGTTTAGGGCAGGTTTGAGGTGATTTAGGGCAGGTTTGTGGCATTTTGGGGCAGGTTTGGGATATTTGAGTAGAGTCCAGTGAGACTGGAATATTTTGGGTAGATTTGGGGTGTTTTGGGGCAGGCCTGGGGTGATTTAGGGCAAGTTTTGGGGTGGTTTTGTGCAGATTTAGGACATTTGAGTAAAACCCAACATTCTGGGGCAGGACTGGGGTGATTTGGGGCAGGTTTGGGGCAGGATTAGGGACAGGTTCAGGGTAGGATTGGGGTGAGTTGGGGCAGGTTTGGGTCAGGATTGGGTCAGGTTTGAGGTAGGATTAGGGGCGATTTGGGGCAGGTTTAGGGCAGGTCTGGGGTGATTAGGGGCAGGTCTGGGGTGATTTGGGGCAGGATTTGGGTCAGGTTTGGGGTAATTTGGGACAGGATTAGGGGCAGGTTTGGGTCAGGTTTGGGGCAGGATTGGGGTGATTCGAGGCAGGTCTGGGGTAATTTGGGGCAGGATTGGGGGCAGGTCTGGGTCAGGGTTGGGGCAGGTTTGGGTCAGGATTAGGGGCAGGTTTAGGGCAGGTTTGGGGCAGGTTTGGGTCAGGATTGGGGTCAGGTTTGGGGTAATTTGGGGCAGGATTGGGGGAGGATTAGGGGCAGGTTTGGGTCAGGATTAGGGTCAGGTGTGGGGTGTTTGGGTCAGGTTTGGGGCAGGTTTGGGTCAGGATTGGGGCAGGGTTAGGGCAGGTTTGGGTCAGGATTGGGGTCAGGTGTGGGGCCAGGCCGGGCCGTGCCCCGTACCCTGGTGAAGGCGACGGCCCCGGCGTAGGAGACGCTGCCGGGGGGGTGGATCCGCAGGGCCCCCGCGGGCTCCGGGGACAGCAGCCGGGCCCAGTCGATGGCCAGGCGGCTCTGGGGGCTCCCCGAGGCCACGAGGAGCACGGAGGGAGCGCCCAGGCTGCTCCACACCATGTGCAGCGTGGCCAGGGGGCCCTGCGCACGCACGTGAACCACGTTCACCCAGGAGCCGTTCCACAGAGAGCCATTCCAGCCGGGATTGAGCTCCACGGACACCTGGGGGGGAAGGAAGGGGGGCAGAGGGAGTCATTCCAGCCGGGATTGAGCTCCACGGACACCTGGGGGGGGAAAGAGAGACATTCCAGCTGGGATTGAGCTCCAGGGACACCTGGGGGGGGAAAGAGAGACATTCCAGCCGGGATTGAGCTCCACGGACACCTGGGGGGGGAAAGGGAGACATTCCAAGCCAGGATTGCGCCTCCAGGGACAAACGGGGGGGGAAAGAGAGACATTCCACGCCGGGATTGAGCTCAGGGACACTGGGGGGGAAAGAGAGACATTCTTCAGCGGGATTTGAGCTCCCAGGGACAACCTGGGGGTAAGGAAGGGGGGAAAGGGGGCATTCCAGCCGGGATTGAGCTCCAGGGACACCTGGGGGGGGGGAAAGAGAGACATTCCAGCTGGGATTGAGCTCCAGGGACACCTGGGGGGGAAAGGGAGACATTCCAGCTGGGATTGAGCTCCACGGACACCTGGGGGGGGAAAGAGAGACATTCCAGCCGGGATTGAGCTCCAGGGACACCTGGGGGGGAAGGAAGGGGGGCAGAGGGAGTCATTCCAGCCGGGATTGAGCTCCAGGGACACCTGGGCAAGGGAGGGGGGCAGAGCTTGGGGGGGCTCCAGCCGAGAATTCCAGGCGGTTGGGGCTGGAATTCCTTGTTTCTCTCTCCAAACCCCCTCTGGAAGTGCCTGGAATTCCCTGTGTCCCCCTCTGGAAAAAACAGGAATTCCTCACTTCCCCCTCTGGAAGTACCTGGAATTCCCTGTTTGCCCCTCTGGAAGTACCTGGAACTCCCTGTGTCCCCCTCTGGAAGAACTAGGAACTCCCTGTGTCCCCCTCTGGAAGTTCCCGGCATTCCCTGTGTCCCCCTCTGGAAGTGCCTGGCATTCCCTGTTTCTCTCTCCACCCCCCTCTGCAATTGCCTGGACTT